GTCGCTATCCAGTGCATTTGTGTACGACAGAATAAACTCTGTATTCTGTGATTTACCCTTCTGCGCCTGACTCCTTCTATCACACTCATCACACCTGCTAAGCATTCAAAATGTAACGAGTACTTTTGGGTGTCAGGGAAAATGTATGGAGTAAAAGGTACATCATTTTCTTTAGGAATGTTGTGAAGTAAAAGTTGTCAGAAAAATATAAACAGTAAAGTAAAGTACAGATACCCCAAAAAACTACTTAAGTAGTACTTTCAAGTATTTTTACTTAAGCACTTTACACCACTGCCCAAAATGTTTTGCTTGTCAGCAATCAAGTTTTCAGCATCATATGATGCAAAATGCATCATACAGGGATGATTTCTGTATACATTTCTGTATAAATTCATTTAAAGTCTTGTGTTTCTGTGTTACTCAGCAGCTAAGTAATTGTCGATTGAGCTAATCTGACGTACCGTTACAACCTGAGATAGCCACCGATATGGATGTCATTGGCAATACAGTGGCTTGCGAAAGTATTCACCCCCCTTGGTATTTTTCCTATTTTGTTGCCTTACAACCTGGAATTAATATGTATTTTGGGGGGGGTTGTATCATTTGATTTACACAACATGCCTACCACTTTGAAGATGCAATTTTTTTTAAATTGTGAAACAAGAAATAAGACAAAAAAACTGAAAACTTGAGCATGCATAACTATTCAACCCCCTCAAAGTCAATACTTTGTAGAGCCACCTTTTGCAGCAATTACAGCTGCAAGTCTCTTGGGGTATGTCTCTATAAGCTTGGCACATCTAGCCATTGGGATTTTTGCCCATTCTTCAAGGCAAAACTGCTCCAGCTCCTTCATGTTGGATGGGTTCCGCTGGTGTACAGCAATCTTTAAGTCATACCACAGATTCTCAATTGAATCATTCCAAGACATTTAAATGTTTCCCCTTAAACCACTCAAGTGTTGCTTTAGCAGTATGCTTAGGGTCATTGTCCTGCTGGAAGGTGAACCTTCGTCCCAGTCTCAAATCTCTGGAAGACTGAAACAGGTTTCCCTCAAGAATTTCCCTGTATTTAGCGCCATCCATCATTCCTTCAATTCTGACCAGTTTCCCAGTCCCTGCCGATGAAAAACATCCCCAGAGCATGATGCTGCCACCACCATGCTTCACTGTGGGGATGGTGTTGTCAGGGTGATGAGAGGTGTTGGGTTTGCGCCAGACATAACGTTTTCCTTGATGGCCAAAAAGCTCAATTTTAGTCTCATCTGACCAGAGTACCTTCTTCCATATGTTTGGGGAGTCTCCCACATGGCTTTTGGCGAACACCAAAAGTGTTTGCTTATTTCTTTCTTTAAGCAATGGCTTTTTTCTGGCCTTTCTTCCGTAAAGCCCAGCTCTGTGGAGTGTACGGCTTAAAGTGGTCCTATGGACAGATACTCCAATCTCCGCTGTGGAGCTTTGCAGCTCCTTCAGGGTTATCTTTGGTCTCTTTGTTGCCTCTCTGATAAATGCCCTCCTTGCCTGGTCCATGAGTTTTGGTGGGCGGCCCTCTCTTGGCAGGTTTGTTGTGGTGCCATATTCTTTCCATTTCTATACTGAGATCATGTGACAGATCATGTGACACTTAGATTGCACACAGATGGACTTTATTTAACTAATTATGTGACTTCTGCAGGTAATTGGTTGCACCAGATCTTATTTAGGGTCTTCATAGCAAAGGGGGTGAATACATATGCATGCACCACTTATTTTTTTGAATTTTTTGAAACAAGTTATTTATTTAATTTCACTTCACCAATTTGGACTATTTTGTGTATGTCCATTACATGAAATCCAAATAAAACTCAATTTAAATTACAGGTTGTAATGCAACAAAATAGGAAAAACGCCATCAGACTTTTAGCTCTAACTTTGGAACACTATGGGCTATAAACTCAGTTCCAACTACATCTAAAAGATGAGACTCTAAACTTGGTATAGATACATTGATTGGAATCTAAATATGTATTTACATTTTAAAGTAATTTTTTAGTTAAAGTGGCTGCCCATGGGCCAAATCTGGGGTGGCTCCATATCTATACATTTTCAGAGTACATACATCTACTTCTGTGACAAATTTGGTGCTTATATCACAAAGTGCACTACTGAGTCAACATTTCCATCTTAGCAGCACACCACTAGCATATAAAAGAGAGATGATTGTTCATTCCTCCATAGTAACACAAAAATAATCGTAAATGGTTTCTTGTCAGTAACTAGTGGCTTGACAAATTCCTAAAATTTCAGAAGGTCAAAATGTACCCCTGTTGGCGCTTTTAGGGTTAAAAATAATTGGTTTGCAATAAACTTTAAAATTGGTACATACCGATACATAGCTAAATACTGTATGGAAAATTATATTTACCCTCTATTATTCTTATTTAGCACTTCAAAATGATCCGTTATGAAAATTATTAATTTTTTGCTAACAAAATGTGCACATGGTATTTCAAACTTTGATTTTGCATGAATGACTCAGAGGTGAAAGATGTGTTCAACTCCAATGAATGCACAATCAAAGGTGCTGAACATAAGACATGGTTCATTATCAGTTATGAGCTTTGTACTGAGTTTTGAAAATATACCACTGCCATCTGAAAAATGTGCCAAACTGATTGAGAAAAACTGTAAGAGGCTGGAGGGAATGGTTTGGACATTCAATAAAGACAAAGCAAAAACCGTGTGGCGTGTGTGTGCTTGTATGCGTGTCATACACACAATCCGTGCAGATGGAGTCATTGCGCTATTTTACATGAGGAAATGTAGTTGACTCATTACTGAACGGTTAATAAAGGAACCTCTGACAAGAGTCTGTCTGTGCTGTAGGGTAAGCGCATCAGAAGCTTGTCATGTGTTAACTTATCATGCAAGCAAACAAACCTTAACAGAATGTCGTATAGATTTAGGCTCCTCAATAAGTCAAAAGTTGTATTGATGTTCAATATTCACATAGAAATGATTAAAATGCACAGTGTTCTGTACATCTGATTTAATTTCTCCCGTTTCATTATGACTAGGAGTCATGACAGCATTAGGTTGGCATGAGACTGCCCTCCTGTGGTCACATGTGAAACATTCAGCACGCCCAGTGTACTGTATTTTGAGGACTGGCCACAAAACGGTATACTCTTCTAACTGCTTGTCAAAATGAAAGCAAGATCAAATCCGATCTCAAACTAAACAGTATCACAAACATTAAAATCATAAATTCTAAGTGCTAAACTGCCAGTCCAGAGGAAAATTAATATGTACAAAACATATTTGACTCTGTACTTATTATATCCAAATAAATCTCAAAGAACGGGTTAGAAACACAACCCATGTGTATGAGCAAATGTTCAGCCTGATGAAGTTAACTTCTTCTGTTTCCACCAGTTAGTCAGTCTACCAAGTCCTGTCTCTGAACAGCTGCTCTCGGACTCCTTGCAGCTCCGCAATGCAGCATGCTGTAGCCTTTTCTTCACCCTAACCTCTCTCACCTGGGAATTCACAAAGACAATACTCCCCAAAAATATTAAATAAAGCTATGGTGAACACATAGGGTTCATAGTCCATACAGTGTGGTACTCTGAGTCTGCATGCACTACACCAGGGAAATATCTTACAGCCAGGGGGTGGCTATTTAAGTGATAATGCCCAAGAAGCCGGTGTTTGGAGGATATATTGGCACGGGTGTTGTTTTCGTGTCGGCCCGGCAAACCGTGCCAATATATCCTCCAAACACCGGCTTCGAGTGCATTATCACTTTTATACAACGGGTTACCAACATATTCAAATAATGATTTACATATTTTCATTAAAAACTTTATTTTGATGAATTTATTCATACTATTTCATCCTTCCACAAGATATAGTCCCGACACAAATCTAGGGTTGCTATCCAAGCCGGCTGGTCGTTCGTTCTATCGGTTCAGTTGACGCGACCCAGTCATTCAGTCTTTTTGTTCTGTATCTATGGACGCGACCCAGTCGTTCGTACTAAATGTTCCATTGCCATACTGGCTGGCAACGTTCTTATCCCTTGCTTGCTAGCTAGCCAACTACGGCTAACCAGTAAAACAGTGCAGCCAGAATAACAACAGTAGCGGCATTTGCATTTGTTTAAGCTGTTTTCTAATTATTTATTTGGATACATCCATAACAATGTACTAATGAGGCGCGATTTCGCCTGGCATAGAACATGTGCTCTCTAGTCAGGACACTATTGTTCAGAGTAGCTAGCCAACAACACATCTAACACAATCTTTTCAAACTGACGCTGGAAAGACTGCAAACTAGCTGCACTTCGTTTCGTTTGACCTTTTTTCAATTTACATTTCTTTGTATACTGTATATCCATAAAAATGATGCCAGCTGATTCATGATTTCGACTGGCTGAGAAACGCTGCCTGCCTTTCTGTCTCGTCCCGTCTCCCGACACGTTCATTACTATGGAACAACAGGAGATCGAATTTGAATATTTAAACAATGTTGCAAATGTCGGAGACAGACAGCAATGTTTATACAAATCTCTGCTGTTGAAAACGAAAGGTTAGTCTAAAAGAAATGTGAGATAATGTCTAGATGCTTTTTATAGCGGAGATCAAGTTTAAAGTGCCTGGCTGAGTTGATGAGACAGTGGATTGCGCAGTCAGCTGGAATAGAGTAAATAGGCATTTTAACGTCATACATTTAGCTGGTGGTAACTTGTGGAATAGACACCGGCTGGAATGCGGTTTTAACCAACCACCCGTTGTATAAGTGTGTGTAAACATGTTTGTATTCTTTCTCGGTGGTGGTACCATTGATTATGCAGGTCTCTCTTCCCTCTGTATAGAGGAGGATCAATATGAAAGCACATTGTCAAATTATTAATTTCAAGGTAAGGACACTCAGGCTTAAAACAAAATCTACATTAGAGCATAAAAAAGAGTGAGAGAAACTAACATGATCACTAATTGCCTTTCACCTGTCCTGTGTGTGTCATCTAGTCTGGAGGTTAGTTTGGTGTGGTTGGGTTGGGGGGCTGAGGGTTGAACCCTTGGCCAGGCCTACTGAGTCTTTGACTGAGTCGTAGTTCTTCAGTCCAGGGGGGCTAGCTGGGGTCCAAATGAAAAGCTGATGGGTCAGTGGTGGAGGATGTACCAGGGTCTTCAGGTGAAGGGCAGAGACCAGGGGTGAAGGTGGGTGGCACCAAGCAGCCCGTGGCACTCACAATGGCATGGATAAGCTCCAGACTACTGGGGCCGGGTCTGTAGCGAGGGGGACATGGGAGGGGACGCTGGCTCCTGAGGTACCTGCTGTGGGGCAGGGGGGGATCTGATGTGCTGAAAGTCTGTCTTCTCTCCTGGTACTTTAGCTACAGTATGGAGTGAACAGAGACCAGAAATATAGATAAGTAGCTACTCAAAATGAACACACAGTCATACATAAACAAGTGCCCTATAGCACACTCCCTTCCACCCATGTCCTCACCCATCACACACATATTTTGTAGAATGCAAAACATCTCTGACTACTATTACATAGCAACAAATGTCTATTCTTTCACTTGTACAGAATACATATTAATTTACAGTTAATCTGAGCTGCGGGTAAGTGGGTGCCTTTGGTCTTTTTGGAGCGTGACTGAGGACCATTTCTCGCAGGTGGAGGATTCTGGCAGGGTGAGGGTACATTTGGCCAACCCTTGTGAGAGGTAGAGGGTTTTTGAGTTGGTGCACAAGGTATTTTGACTTTAGTTCTAAAGTCCTCCTGTCCTCTAGTAGTCTTGTCTTTCTTTCTAAAGTCTTCTTTAGGATGACCCTCCCTGCTTGGATGTGGAACTGGGCCCCATGCTGGGTGAGGGTGTCTGGGTGAGGGAGGACACCTCTCCCTCTCCCGTCTCTCCCTCTCCCTCTCCCGTCTCTCCCTCTCTCTCTCCCTCTCCCTCTCACGTGGTAGTGTGGCAGAATATGAGGCTTTATTCTGAGATGGACAGTCATGGGAGGTTGCCAGGCCCCTAGAGGTAGGGGAAGTTGTTAGATTCCCCTCACTTCCCCGGAAAGGAGTACCGGTACCTCTATAGTTTGGGGAAATGCCTGTGGGTTTGCTCTTGGGGGGGTAGCTATTTGGCCTGGGTGTGTCCGGTGTCTGGAAACCTTGTCTCATTTTTTGCTCTGAACTCATGCCCAGGATTGAGGCTGAGGCTGCAGGTCTCCCTTCTGGGTTGTTGGTTGTGCTGGAGGTGCTGGTGGTGGGCCGCATAGACAAGCTCTGATCCTGGATCGGATCTCTGATCCTCTGATCCTGGGTAGATCCGTGAAGACCTCTACTCTGAGGCCTCTTGGGAGAGGGGATCTTGTGTGAGGAGGTATTGGGGGAGGGGGTCTTGAACAGCCTCTGTGTGTCAGTCGGAGCCCTAGACAATCCACTGGAGAGTTTAGCTACTACAGGCTGACAAAGGGCTGTAAATGCCTGCTTCAAGTCTCTAAGGCTTGGAAGGGAAGGTCTCTCTTTCCTCCCACTGTCCCCCTTTGGCTTTTGTCACGACTTCCTCCGAAGCTGCCTCCTCTCCTTGTTCGGGCAGGCTTCGGTGTTAGTCGTCACCAGCCTTCTAGCCACTGCCACTCCTCATCAAATCATTCCATTTATTTTGTCTTGTTTATTACACACACCTGGTTCATATCCCCTCATCAGTACCTGTATAAGTGTTCCCTCTGCCCCCTTGTCTTTGTGTGTGATAGTTTATTGTGGAGGTTAGAGAAGCTCGATGGAGCTCCTTGTATTTTGTATCGCCGGGATATTTCCCTGTGTGCTTTGTTGTTTCCAGTGTGCCTGTTTTGCGCACTGGAGTGTTTTGACGCATTACTGCGTAACTCTGTGTTTCGGAATAAATCCTGTTATTCTGTGATTTACACTCCTGCGCCTGACTCCTTCGAAATCACTCATCACAGCTTTGGCTCAAAGCTGTGTTTGCAGAACCTAGTTTTAAGACGAATGTCACTGGGAGGAGAACTCTTGTCGGTTGGCCGGCTCCCTCCAGCACTTGGGGATTTGGTATTTTTGGTGGATAGAGCATGTTGTGACACTACAGAGCCTGCCTTCCTACTGACAACACTCTGAGGTGTTAGTGGTTTCTTGAAATGACACTCAGTTTTGTCTGTCTGCTTCTCTGACAAAGAAGGTGCAGGTGTTAATTTAGGTGAATCAGAGGTCTTGGTTTTAGGACTTTTCTTATTTTGAGAAGACTTGTGTTTCTGATGTTCTGTAGTTGACTGAGGAGATGAATTACATGGAGACTTAGGGCTTTTACGTGGACTTCTCTTGGTCTGTGGTAAATGATAAGTGTAGGAAAAGATGGAGGTGAGTGTTAGCTTACTGCCTGGGATGGGGTCCCACGGTCTAGCTCAGTTGAAGAAACATCAGGTGAGGCTGGTGGTTTCATTGGTTTCTGTAGTCACGGGTCAGCTTGTGGAATCTTAGATTCTTTCAGAGTGGGACTGGCATGTGATGATACGGAAGTTGTAGCTATGGCAGAAGAACATTTCTCAGTCATTTTCTTTGGCGTTGAAGTCTTCTTCATTTCACTGCTCATTCTCATCTCAGAATCATCTATCTTCGCTGTATCCTCTTTAATATTGAACATGTCTGGGCATGGAGTGTGACATATAGCTACTTGACATCTAGCTTTAGGGATGGTTACTAAGACTTTAGGGTTGGCAATGGTTACTGTCCCTTCAGCTGCTGGTGGACAGCTCTCCAGCCCACAACATGTAGTCCTATTTCCTGAGATGTCGCTCCTGGTGTGGAATGTTGACTCCCTGCCAGATATGTTCACAAGTCTTTGGGGTAGAGTCCAAGTCGAGTCTCAAGTCTTTTAGGGCCAAGTCTAAGTCAAGTCTCAAGTCTTTTAGGGCCAAGTCTAAGTCAAGTCACAAGTCCCTTTTGGCAATGGCTTTCTGCTTGCTGTGAGTTAGGTCTATAAACCTTGTAAATTATTTGAAGAGACTCCCTTCATTAGTCCATACTTGTATGAAAGAAAGCACATCAGGCACTATTTAAATTTCCTTTTAAAATGTAGACAGTTTACATGAATAAAAGTAACTGTACCGGATATCAAAAGCTAACATAACATTTTAAAGTGCGTGGTATTTTGTGGCAGACATTGTCTATATTTCACTTCATTCTGTCACACAAACAGAACATCTGTAGGTGAGGGAAGATAAATGACAAGTATAAATGTAAACTAAAATGACTAACAACTGTTCAATAACGGCACTACTAAAGTGTTCTATATACCTAAAATATACTTACTGACCTGGACACTTAACAACAGAAACACAATTTCCTGTAACAAGTAGCAAATTACATCCTGTGCCCTAAGACAGAGAACATTTCTGTTGCAGACAGGTTACATTTCAGAAAGATCAAGTTTGTCAGCGTTCATGCACTGAGCCTGGCACGATGAGGCCTCCATGACTAAACACTCTCCCCACTGGGGCACTGGTGGCAGGCACAGCCAACACTGTCATTGCTACCTGCTTGAGCCTTGGAAAGTCTTTCGCATGGATTCTCCAAAAATCCAAGCAATCAACTTCATTTTCATCAGAAGATACTTGAATGTAGCGAATAATCTCTGCTCTGACAGATTACTTTATGTCTCCTTTGTTCTTGCTGATCTTGTTGCGGTAGCCAAAGAACAGTCTGGAGGTTTTGGCAGGTGGTTCTTCTTCTTCTTCTTCTTCACTACTGCTCTCCCAAACGGTGACTTTCCGTGCCTCAGCGAAAACAAGGTCTGAAAAAAATTCATAAAATGATGTATATAATCAAGAATATAACAGGATACATTATACATGAAAACAAATCATTATTATTTGAATGCAAGTGGCATAGAAAACGTTGCATGTTGCAATGCATTGTACCTACCAATCAGACTCTCCTTCAATTCAGCTTTATCTTCATGTGGTATGAGGACATCATGATCAAGCCAGAACAGGCAGAAAGATGGGTCCAGCAGTGCAGCCATTATGTATACATTGTCACCAAATGGAAGTTTTGTTGCCTGTTCATCCGAGTGCTCCATTCTGACATTCCCAAACACCCCATGGAATCGACGTTTGAGGGACTGCTGCAGTGCTTTTACTGACTGACTAGGTGACGACTTGCTCAGTATACTTTGCAGATGATAGTTGAGTGACAATACACAAGGAAGTGCAGCACTGAGAGTCACTTTCTCCCCCTGAGTAAGGTCAGTGGCCTGGCAAAAGGGTCCAAAATGTCCACTAGCTCTAACAGCTGGCTCCATTCCCTTGGTGATAAGCAGAGCTCCTTGTGTCCTTGGGCCTCAAGTAGAGTATTGAGGCTTTGTTGATTCAGATTGGTGACTGCTTTAACAAGCCGGAGGATGGAATTCCATCTGGTAGACACAGCAGCAGGGATACTACGATTGGCTCCGAACTCAGCTTCAAATGCTTCTTTCAGACCACATGTAGTATGTAGTAAGCTGCAAAGTTTAGTTACCTTAGCCATCACACTGTTTATGATTTTTGTTTCCTTTAGTCCATCTCTAATCACCAGTTGTAATGAATGGGCAAAGCACTGTAAGCGCTGTTGCCTGCAGTTGGTTTGGATAGCTTCAACATCAGCATTGTACTCTTCACCAAATTCTTCCCATAGGCTGGGGTTATCCACATCATCATCATCATCATCATGATCATTGCTTGCTTTGGGGAAACAAACTGTGAAGGCCTTTTTCATATTTGCAGCGTTATCACATATGATATAATCTAATTTATGTTTTATGCCAAAATTATCACATATTACTTCAAATGTATCACTGATTCTTTCCCCAGTGTGTGACCCTGTGAATCTATCACAGCTCAACAGAACTGACTCCAGTCTGGGAGTTTTTTTCTCTTCCATGGCCATGTAATGGGCCGTTACTCCCATGAAGCCCCTCATGGTCCTGTCAGTCCATATATCTACAGTGACAGACACTGATTCTGTCTTCTCTAGGGCACTTTTGATTGTAGCCTCTTTGTTCATTGTTAAGTCATGCAGGCGCCTGGTCAATGTGGGCCTACTTACTGGTCTATATTTGTCATCTACCACTGACATGAAATGCCTAAAGTGAAGGTTGTCCACTAAGGACATAGGCAGGTTGCAGGAAATGATCAGGTCTTGCAGTATAGCCTCTGTTATGGCCTTCTGCCTGGGGTGGCCCTGGCTGTACACATGGACACCTGTGGTGGTCAAGAATGAGTCAATGCTGCTCTGTCCTTCTGTCCCTGCGCTGGCCACCTTTGCTTTGCAGAATTCAGTGAACCTGCAGATGAACAACATGGTGGATAGTTGTTGCTGACTTGAGATGGAAGTACAAGGACACAAACAAATATATATGGTCTATGGGATTTTTCAGCAGAAATGTCCAAGAAGTTGCATGCTTTGAACTCTCGTTTTATACTAAGTTACTTCCTACGACCAGGCTACAACAGAAAGTATATTAAATCCCATAGTGATATCCATATCGCTGAGATGTAATTTAATCATCTCTGCTAACAAGTAGGCCTAGCTATCTGACAACCCACCTCTTAACCTTTCGAGAAATATTCGACAGTAATACATTTCCAGTTAGCTAAAAGATGACACACAAGAAAGCTAGCTATATCAAGCTGGCATCTGCTAAACAGGCTATTATTAGTCTAACCACATTGTAACGTTGTTAGCTAGCTAGCCTAACTGACCTTTCGCGGTGAGTTTTCAAATGCAGATGAAGTTAGATGTAGTTGCGCTTTAATGCATCTTTAATGTTAATTCCACAAGTTTTGCAAACAGCATTTCGTTTTTTGCCTCTGGCATTATACTGCAGGTTCTTGTAACCAAATGTAATAACGAAAGCCTCACCACCTGATGACATTGTTGCTGATTACAATTGTTTAGCTGTAGTACTACAGTAACGTACAAATGACGCAGCCGTTCTAGAACGCTTTTCAGCCCTCTGTATTAAACTACTATCTCTGTGTTACAATGCCGCCTGTTCCATGTTATCTGACAGAATGCACAACAAAAACTTATCCCAGTACTGACTTGCATTGTTCACAAGTCTCTCATCTAGAGTCCAAGTCAAGTCTCAAGTCAATTGATCATGAGTCTAAGTCAAGTCGCAAGTCATTTTCTTTGCGATTTAAGTGTGACTCGAGTCCGAGTCTCAGACTCGAGTTTCCATCTCTGCTCCCTGCGAAAGGTCCCATGTTGTGGGGTGCAAGGGGCACTGGAGGTGAATAACTGTGTGCGTACTGGGGTGCTAGGGGCACTGGAAGACATACTGAAAGAGAAGGAAGGGGAAAGTATTAGGGTGTTGGGAGATGTGCTAGAAAGAGGAGTAGGGTGAGGAGGAGCACTGGTATCTGTGGGGGAGAGAAAGGGGGTGTGGGTGTAGGGTGGGCTGAGCATGACGCTGGCATCAGATGGTGGGGAGTCTGAGGCACTGCTGTCTAGCTGTCGGCGCCATGACCGGCGGTCCCATCTCTTCACCCGGCTGGGCGGCAGGGGATCTCTCTTTGACAACGGGCTCCTTTTCCTCTTCCCTCCCGGGTAGGGTTTAAAGACAGACGTCCCCTCCCCAGCACCCAGAGTGGCTGTGGGTCTCGCCTGGATACCAGAGGGTCCTGCTAACAAATGGTAGGGCAGGGAACAGGTAATTACAATTAGGGTTGCAAAATAAATTCCCTGGTTTTCCAGAAATCCTGGTTGGAGGATTCGGCATTTCATGCTTATTCCCTCCTGATTCTGGGAATCCTCCAACTGGGATTTCTGGAAAACCAGGGAATTATTGAAATTTCCAGGTATTTTGTAACCCTAATTACAATCATTAGTAGAGGTAGCTTGCAAAAGAGGTAATCACATTTGTAGATAGAAGGGAATATATTCAGTACCCATTGACATTGCATTAAAATTACTATAATTATTTTTTATGTCTCAAATGTTGTAGAATAAAGTCCCTACGTCTTTCAGCATGAGGCCCTTCTGATGTCTCATAATGGGGAAAAAGTGAGAGAAAACAATAAAATCGATTATATTCAGATTTTGTTGACAAACTCACTTCCTCTCATAGTTCCTGTTAGCCTGGACCTTTTTTTAAAGGCCTTTAACATGTATGGATTGAGCAAATACTAAGCATAGGGCTTACCTTATCACAAAGCTGCTCAAGCTTCTTCTTATGATGTTTGGTCTTCTTCTCGCTGCGCATGGCCTGGTACCATTTCAAACGTTTCTGATAGCGGCGGGTGAGGTAAGCAGGGGTGGCTCAAAGCTGTATGATTTGTCGTCATCTTCTTCGGAGCTGGAGCTAAGTAACTGCAGATCCCTGACAGAGCGGGATAGGGAGCCACCATCTCTTGGGAGCAGGAAATGCTGAATAAAGTGGTTTAAATGTCAGAAGAGCTAGATGTCAAAATAGACATATATTAAGTTAGATTGTCTAGCTACTGTAGCTAGCTAATAGTCTTAGAAATTCTTTAAAGTCCTCACCAGCTAAATGTGAACATTCCCTCGCATTGTCTCCTCCCTCCTTCTGGAACCTAAGAAAAAAGCAGTGTTTTTCTTAAACTTTTTCCAGCATTATTAGTTAGCTAATCTTTTCTTTTTTAAACGTATGATTGAAAGACTGCATTCAAGATTCACTCTTTAGTTAACATAGTTAGCTCTTGCCTGCTAGCTAGCGCAATTCAGATAACATTAAGAAGTTAGCTAGCCACACGAGATTTATTGATAACTACCATCCAATTTTGGGTGGACAGCAATGTGTTGCTTGCAAGCTGTTAGCTAAACCGATGCGCTGAACTAGAGTCTTGTGTTCAAACGTAGGTACTTTTTATTTATTTTATTTTACCTTTGGCTGAGTATATTTTGGTTTCATCTTGTAACAAATGTGGCATTTATTGGCTAAAGTAAACAAAGAAGTGACATCATCAACGGCAGAAATATTTTTAAAAAATGCATTATGCTCCAGCTGCTTTTCGAACTTGCTGCACACTTCGTAAATTTACTCTGGCTTTTACTCCGATTTCAGAGCACTCTCACCTGAGTGTGCCAGGGCGCAGAATAACTGACGAATTTACGAACGCGCAACACCCGTTGAATATGACTGGTGTCAGTAAACGTCGGCATTAAATTGTTGCCAGCAGCTCAGTTAGTCACCGACGCATCTAGATAACATGAAAACAGCCTAACCAGCTCTGCTAGGGCGAGTAAAATGGTCAGAGTGAGGTGTTCTCTAACTTGTGTCTGGAAGTAGCTAGAAAGCTAGCCAACTTTAGACAGTTTGCTTGGGTGCTTGACTGCCGTTGTGAGGTCAGAACGCTCGAATCAACCCTACTCCTCGGCCAGTGTGAGCTCTGAATGTACGAATGGACCACGCAGCCGTCAGAACGCTCGAATCAACCCTACTCCTCGGCCAGTGTGAGCTCTGAATGTACGAATGGACAATCTGACAACGCTCTAAATTTACGAACGCCCAGAGCGCACTCCGAGAATACTCTGGCACTCTATAGTGCATTTACGAACACACCCTTCATTTCATTCATGTTTCTCTTCTCTGTTCCAGCACTAGTTTAGCAAGACAGCGATCATATGGAGCTGAAAGTAAAATAACCACAGGACAACTGCTAAGCAACATGCTGCGTCAATGATACATTCCCTATCAAACTCTATGTGGAATACACCCCTCGCCCTTGTCCTAACAGAAAGAGACGAGAACAGAAATTATAAATGAATTCCATACAACGTTGAGAAATTATGGATTTTATTTGCGTACATTTTCAATTCAACATCGCGATGCAAGAACAAACTGCATAAAGCTAATTCATCATGATAAAATGGCACTATTACTTAGTATAGTATAATGTTAACGTATCCATTCCATTTTTGGTTACAAGATAACGTTCACAAATGTTAATAAATAACATGAATATTACAATATAAATGCCTTCATTTAGAATATTAATATTTTATTACACATTTACAATCCCATTTCCAACTAGTCTCTCACATGAAAGTAATGCACAATTTGCAGGAGTGAAACAACACAGTATGTGAATACTGGAGGAATAGGGCAGGTAAAAAAAAAAAAAAGGTTTTGACAAATCCTAATTTCATAGAAAGTGTTAGTTTTGTATTTCTCGTCCTGCACTACATTCAGCTGTGTCACTCCACTCATCCCACTGTCCAGTATGTGTAAAATATAGTATAGAGGTTCTGTTCAACTATAGCCAGAGTTTGAATAACACTTTGAACATGTAAATGTAAGATCCTATATTTACTCCATTCTGATTTGCTGGAGGGAGAATAACCATGTTGTCCTGAATGGTGAACTGACCTACAGAATGTCCGTCTAAAGAATAAACACCACAATGACCTCCACAAATGTTGATGTTTCACTTCCTCTTTTACTATCATTTCTCCTGTAAACAAAACAAAAAAGACAAAGGTCAATGACAAATATTTTCGTCATCTATGACCCCCAATAGCAAAAGCAATGAACATGTGTATCACAACAATGAGTAAAACATAAATCCTAAAATAGTTAAGTGAAATGTAATTTACCTGCACTATAATCCCTTCTGCCAGCCTCAGACCCAGGAGTCGAGAGGAGGAGGTTTGCGGTCCACCAGACCCACTGCAGGCCTTCCAGCCCGGATGAAGTGCTTCCTCTCTGGGATACTCTGCAACAAAATAGAATAAGTATTTAGTTAAAGGTCCAATGCGGCTGTTTTTATCTCAATATCAAATCATTTCTGAGTAACAATTAAGTACCTTACTGTGATTGTTTTCAATTAAAATTGTAAAAATATATATATATAAAAAAAAATCTTCAAGGTAAAGAGCAATTTCTCAAGGAAGAATTTTGCTAGGACTGTCTGGAAGTGGTATGAGTGGGGAGGGGAAAAATGAAAAATAGCTGTTATTAGCAGAGAGGTTTGGAACTCTCCTTCCTATTGGTCTA